GTAGATTTGACAATTTGTCATGTAAGATACTCATCTAGAACTTTGCAGAACCATTAGGTACAAGAGACAAAAATTCAGTTTTTAGTCTAACAATAATCAAGATGGGTCCCATGAAAAAAGATGACGTTTTGCCATGCGCTTGAGAAAGCAAAGATGCATTGAATGAACGTGCATCCTTTTTTTAACAGGGGACTACTTGTGCTCTACAATTTAATAACCATGAAATATTTTCAGTTATGCTTTTGGGGTCTTTCCCTGTCTGAATATAGAGTCAGTTTGATTAACTGGTATGTGGCTAAACCTTTTTACAAGCTTCAGATTTTTCTTTACCTTTCATGTATTCTGTTTACATATTTTAATATTCATGCTAAGAAAGACCCATGAAACATGAGACTGGACCAAAAAAAAAAAAAATCCAGTATTTTTAAATTTGGCCATAAATAAGGTGAACAAACTTTTTTTCTCTCCATATATTGCAGATTGACTTAGCAATAAACACGAAGGTTTATATTACTGGGACTAAACTGCAGGACTTCATAATCAGTTTTTAATTCAGTGTTTATGCTCCTAAAATTATGCTGTTCTCCTTTATGTTTCTGCATCAGTTAACCACCTCATCTCCCTTCCTGACTAAAGAACCTATTTCACAATTAATCTTCAATTATCTTCTGGGAAAAGGACACATTTACCAATGTCAGTGATCTCATAAAGCTAAATCAGTGCTTATAATTTCAAGATGGGCATGTAAAATGCCATGTAACAACTTAATAAGCATTCATGTGCACAAAACCTTTTTTCAGTTGCTGTTTTTTAGAAAACCTTTGTCATGCTTTATCCACAGATTAAAACAAAGCATCTTTAGTTAAGACAACCGCATTTGTAGACTAATATTTAATAGTAATAACCAAGCAACCATTTACGATCTTTATAGCTCTGACCGTTAAAGGAATCAGATGGAGAAGAGACATTTTCTCCCCTTGCAGGGTTCCCCCGTGGTGGCTGCTGTTTGTCAAACCACACTCCCGCAAACACAGACAACGCTGTAGGAGGGTGCTATCCAGCTGCCTCGCTTGGTGAGATTCACAGTGCGGTGCCATACCACCCACGTTTAACATGGCATTTCAACTGTGTCCAGTTAGCACAGCAGCATCTTAAAATCACCTACAGAGACAATTTGATTCCCTACGTGCTTTCTATCTACCTTTGTACCTACTGAGAAGCAACCTAAAGTCAGTGATCAAACCTTCACTCACCGTGATTAACAATTAAAGTAATTTTAAACAGCAAATAACTATTTTATAACACAGCTTAAAAAAAAAAAAAAAAAAAAAAAAGAAGTAGTTAGGCAAGGCACTAATTCTCTTAGGCAAAATATTTTTCAGAGCAAATACTGTAATGAAAACAGTTTTACAAACAGAATTAATTCTTTTTTGAGGAAATGTCTGTGATTTGTCTCTCAAAAGTGGTACCTTGAAGTCTATTATTCTCTATGAAATCCCCACAAAAATAACATCAAAGACTCTAAACAGCAATAATACATACTTTTGGCTCTCCAGGGAGTCACGCCTTTTTATTTACCTAATACAAACACAATCAACCCTCCTCCTCAAAAAAACACTGTGCTTCATCTATAAGGACAGCCAAAATTAATTAGAAAATATTTCTGTTGCAGTCCAGAATATAATCAGGATCTTTACCCTCATGCTGACCAACACCCAGTGTATAATATTTTTTCCCAAGAAAGAGGTTGATCAAAACCCAGTAAAATTATTTTAAGATTTCATAAATAATTCATGATTGCATTTTACATATAAATTGCCTCTTCCTCCAAGTGAAATATTAAATTTATTTCTCAAGGAAAAAATCAAAGAGATATTTAAAAATGAACAACAGAACAGTTGTATAATAAATATTTTAAATACACTGGACTTTTTTAACTGTGCAGCGATACAAATCAATGCAGGAACTCATATAATTTAGCTGGTCTGTTTTTAACCTAAGCAGCAATAGTAAAATATCCTAAAAATGAATTAGCACTTGTGTAATCAATCACATGAAGTCTCTCTTATGATATATATGTATATATTTTATTTTATTTTTGTAAACAGCTTAATTTAATTTTCTTGGAATCCTTCTCCTAACTTCAAATTTAATAAGGCTGCAATTACAAATATTCTCTGTCATATGCATAGTAAACCCATTCCATCTTCGTCACACTACATATTAAAGTTAGCATATAACTTCTTGATACAGACCTTGAAATAATAACCTTTGGCAGTTCAACACAATACATGATGAACTTTTAAAGGTGACCTGGAAAACCACTAGGAGAATGAAGCTCAGTTCAGAAACAAATGCCATACACCTCCAGCACGAAGGCAGCAGAAGAGAACTACATTCTAGTTTATAATTAATTCCAGCAGTGTTTCCTTGCTGCCAAACAACTGCAAATGTACCATTCTGTGACATCACCGAATGGCTTTCGTACATTTGCCTGTATCAGCCCTCCTGGTGGCATAGGAAACATACTTCTAATTAAACCTCATTTACATTCAGCTTTCCTAAGACACACTCGGTTATGCCTTAGCAAGGCACAGCTTCTGCATGGAGTAACTTTTTGCTGTTCACTGGCTGGCAGAAATACATGGGAGCCACACAGGAGTATGCAGTCAGCAAGGAATCATCTCTGCGGGAGATAAAACCACAGGTGTTGGGAGTACCGGTAGAAAAGGAAAGATACAGGTCTACCAGCATTTGTCCTACCAATCGACCATTACTGCATTATTCTTCTTCAATATTAAGGACTGATTGTTGCTTATTCATATTGCTGGGGATTTTGCAAGCCTCATCAATGCTGCAGCAGACTGTAGAACCAGCAAATGAACTTTGATATAAAAGAAGAGAGGAAAACAGTAAGGCACAAGTTTTCCTGTTGGTCAGGATATACCGGGTTGCACAGTAGGACTAGTAAGCAAGTTCACCTTGCAGGTGAGCTTTTTTGTTTCCACAGCAGGGAAAGTGAGGTATTCAGTGCCTTAAGGATCTAAGCGTAGCAGCAGTGAAACCTATTTTTTGAGTCTAACATAGTTCCACTACCCTACGTCTTTACCAAGAACAAGACAGCACATCTAGGTTTTGCCAACTGTCTTTCTCTCCTTATCTGCTTCTGTTTCTCTGTACTCCAATAAATCCCAAGTTCACCAAACAGCCAAATTAAATTAACTGAAGACAACACACACATGTTCTGAGACAGTTAAGTTACCTCTGGAATTGGGTATATATATTCTAACTTACATCCTCCATTTGCTAAAAAATAATAGAAAAATGTTGTTTCTGCGGATAACTGATTTACGGTCAGATGAAACTTACTCAGGTCGCTGCCATCATTTAGTGAACACACACTGTAATTTTCTCAGCTGTACTTAATGAAGGTTTTAGTTTATAATAGTTTATATACAGGGCACTACTTTGCTACCATTTTATTCACAATACTGTTGATTCTATCATACTTGAAGAAATATGCAAGAAGGTTGCTACTAAAGACTACCAACAAGAAAGGGAAAAGGGTAGAAAAGGGGTTAAACTAAAGTGGGCAAAGGTGAAAAAAAAAAGAAAGGGAAAAAAGAGAACAAAGGAGAAAAAAGGAAAGGAAAAATGGAAGGAGGAAAAAAATACATAAAACTTGCACAAGAATTTAAGATTAACTATTTGAATAGAACAAGGTCTGCAGTGATATTACAAAATAACCTGTGGAAATTATCTATGCCACTGTTGCAAAGTATCTAATTTGGTTTCTAACAACCAAGGGAAAATCAGTAGTACCAATGTATAATACACCATTTTATTTAACACATGCGTAAACTTAATACCTAAAAAAACCTGATTTGTGTGCACATATGTAAACCAGGACACAGAGAAATATTTTGATATGCATTTGATTAGCAGCCAAGTATAAAACCAGCACTAATTCTAAACAAAATCAGAATTATTTTAATTGTTGTAAGAAATCATAGCAGGAAAATTAATCCTGTAATACAATTTAAAGAAATACCTTTGAATGGATAAAAGTAGAATTATGATTTTAAAACTTTATATAATAGATACAAATAAATTATATGTATTTTCTAAAAAACATTTATATTTAGGTGGATTTTCCTGTTTACAAGGGACATGAAATAGGTACGTCAGTTAAAAACTCAAGGTCTTCTATATAGTCCGATTTGCTGCATTGCCCTAAATATTATGCCAAATATTCAACAAAAAAGCTTCACAGTCAAGAAAAAACTCTATTTTCTTTATTTCAGTCATGACACAGAAGATAAACAGCAGTGACAAAATTAAATTACCAACAGTATAAGGACTCCAGTATTTGTCACTTTCAGGCACTTTCATAACTCTGAAAATAATGTGGTTCAATTGTTTATTTGAAAGGAAAAAAATCCCTCCCTTTAGGAATTCAACTTCCTAAAAATTAAGTATGCTTTTAAGTGAATCATCATCCATTTTAACCAGAATACCTACATGATGATGAGCTGGGCCCCAAGGAGAAATAAGCAATCTCAAATCCCACCACAGAATGCTGAAAGCAGTCACATGACAAAAGACATCTTCAAAATGGTATTTTTAATGAAGCACATATAAATCAAGTTTCTCAAGTAGTTTAACAAATTGCTAATAAATAAAATAGCTGGTAATTTCTAACCATTGCATTATAAAGAACCCAACTCTCACAACTTTTCCAGAAGGCACCAGGTTCCTACTGTAGTTCTATACATTGTGTGACTCCTTGAGGAGGTAACAGCACGAAGAGACCTGATCTCAGCAAAGCATCAAACCAGTCTTGTTTGTGCATGTCATGGAGGCAGCACACTAAAGGCAATGAAATCAACTGCCAATGGCTTAAGCCACAGGTCAGGATACACAACAGGGCTTTAATGAGGAATGTCATACCCAACCCAAATAAACTTTAGCACTGAAGAGAACAGACATCATATCCTTCAAAACAAACACTGAAAATGAAATCTAACAATCTCAGGGCTGTTTTTTCACATCACCAGCTTTCATCAGAGCCTTAATAGCTCTAGCCCTCATCTCGAGCTCCAGAAGCTCCAGCTGCTGTGCTGATGGCTGAACATCTTCTGGCGGAGGAACGGCTAAGGTTGCTGCTTTGGGCTCCTTTGGGCTGCATTCTGCCAACCCCAGTATCTCATTCACGCTTTTCTCAATGTCTTTCTGAAGGTCATCTATCTGACCAACTCCACTTCTGACAGTGTTTTCTTGTACATCTGGGCCATCTTCTTCATTGCATGGGCCTTCTATGTCACTATCATATGCATCTGCATTTATGCTGAGGACATCGCTATCTTCTCCCTTGCCTGTAACACAAATGTAACAATCATATAGTCGCCTAACAGAACAATTTTTCTTTAAACTTACAAAATTGCTTCTGCTTAAAGTTCCTCTGAAGATTAAGAAAGCGGCAAAAATTTAAGACAACTAATTCCTCTTCTTTTTCTTCTCCAACTTTTAAGGCTGATCTAATTTAGACAAGTGTTAATGCATTTTTATGCCAATTTAGATGAACATGCAGTATAGCAAAGCAGCAGTACCAGGAAGATTTATTCCATCCTATGGAGTTACATGATCTGTTTTCCTAATTAAAATGTCAAAAGGTTTTATATAGTAAGGAAGCCTCTGCAGTGCAAAATTGATTATTGTTTATTATTTTTAAAGTAAACTTAGTTGTCAAAATGCAATTTTAAAAATGACACTTTAAAACTATTTTATGTATTTTAAAAGAAGTGGGACACTATAGTCAGGCACAGTACTAAAAATTAATAGAAACTCCACTTAAAGTGCAACTATCTATAATCTATCACAAGTATTTCAGATGTATTTAACTCAGTAAAAACATGGGGAAAAACATAGCATTGGCTTTTAATACTGGCTAAAAGTTGGAGTTTATTTAAAAAAAAAAAAAAAAAAAAAACCCAAAACTACAAGATGCAGTGCAACAAAATAAAAGCAAAACTCTAACAGAACCTGAGTAACTGTTCTCACAATTTGGCTACAGAGAGGCTACTGCTTTTGACACATTGGCCTCAGAAATCATTAGTCCTTCACCAACCTCTGTATCTGTGGAATCTTACATTAGGATTGGATCTTGCTTAAAATGAACAATTTATAGTCAGATGATAGTAAAGTTACTGATACCAAAGGCTTTATAATTGCTTTTGGTAGTACCACCATCGAAAGGTATGGTTGTGTTCCCTGTTAATTAGACCTAAACCTGTTAGGGTTTAGAGCTAAAGATCTGTGGTTTTGAAATACATATAATTTCTTACTATGAAGATTCAAAGAAAGTTTACATTCCTATGTAAGCTACTTTAGTCTATAATGACCCTCTCTATATAAAAAATATTCTTATTTAATATGTATTCAGACAGTATTGCAAACCTGTTTATTTAAATTTTCTTTAATTCTCCTTTAAAAATATGGGAGACCATGAAGACAAGGAAGCCAAACTCTTCTCAGTACTGCACACTGACAGAACTAGTGGTAACAGTCAAAAATTAAAACACATGAAATTCCACCTGAACACATGTAAAAACTTTTCTACTGTGAGAGTGGCCGAACACTGGAGCAGGTTCCTCAAGAGAGGTTGTGGAGTCTCCATTCTTGCACATACTCAAAACTTGACAGCACGTGGTCCTAAGCAACCTGCTCTAGGTGACCTGCTTAAGCAGGGGGAATGGGTTCAATGATCTCATAACAGCCCTTCTAACCTAAAAAATTCTGGGGCTCTCTGATTCTTAAAATTAGTACATTGACACCATGCTGTAAAAGGTTCTCTTTCTCCAACTGTTCTTTTTATTTTTTCATTGATAGTTTTGGATTTGTTTCTGAAAGAGTATTGGTAACATGCCAGTGTTCTGGCTAGTGCTGAGCAGTGCTTGCACAGCCTCAGGGCATTCTCTGTTTCTTGCTCTGAACCCATAGTGAGTAGGCTGGGGGTGGGAGAGAGGTTGGGAGGGATACACAGCCAGGACAGCTGACTCCAACTGACCAAAGAGATAGTCCATACCATATGACATTGTGCTCACCAATAAAAGCTCAAGGAAAGGTGGAGGAAAGAAGGATGTTCATGGTTATGGCATGTCTTCCTATGTAACTGTCATGCATGCTGAGGCTCTGCTTTCCAGGAAGTGGCTAAAAATCCATGTGCCAATGGGAAACAGTGAATAAATCCCTTATTTTGCTTTGTTTCAGTGCACAGCTTTTGATTCACTTATTAAACTGTCTTTATCTTGACCATAAGTTTTTCTAGCTTTTGCTCTTCTGACTGTCCCCCCCACCTGACAGGGGAGAAGTAATTGGCTGGTGGGCACCTACTGCTGGCTGGCGTCAACCCACCACAGGATCCCTTTCAGTACTGGTCACATATTAAGCAGAAACAAAATATTAACAGTCATTCAAGTCTGTCCCAGAATTAGTATGGACCATGAAGCTAGGCAAAGCCACCCTGGGTTCCATTCAGAATCTGGATATAGACTATGGATCCAAAACTGTAACACAGTGCCCATACAAGCTTATTGGCCTATAGACATTTAATTAGCTGACGGGCTTTATTTCCCTCTTTTGCAATTGCAATTCTACCCAGTAATAAAGATCACGGTTGGCATTTCTCATTATCTTTTTCATTTTGATAACTTTTACTTTCTCCTTCAGCTACAGTTGTGAAATTCATTTTAGCACATTTAATTCTGTTTCATAAATTTATTTTATCCACTTTTGCTTATTCTCTTCTTCTCTCTTTTCTTCCCATAGCATCACAGGCTGCAGCTCAGCAGAATGATCAGAGTTATATTTTTAAATTTACATCAGTATTCCCAAAAGCTCTTTAAAGCTAACATCTTGAGTGGAGCCACTGTTATAGCCCAAAGCCATCATGATACTCTTGTTGATTAAGTCATAAAAACCAACAATGAAGCAATCACCTGCAACAGTCATCAATTCCCTTTGATAATACAAAAGTGAAAAAGATCTGCAAGAAATCTGTCAGTTCTGAGGTCATTCCATACAGTACCAACAATATTTAAAGCATTCCTCACAAAGCTATAGCAACCTGCTTCTAAAAGTTTTGATGCTTTTATTATGACTGTTCACTTCTCTGTTTAATTCCCCTCACTAATTACTTCAGAAAAAAACATGACTCATCTTTTAAACTACATTTTGAATTGTGAAATAGGAGTTGCAGGAAGCAAATAATGTTAGATCTTCATGGAAAAGAAATATAGCTTATAAGAATTTGCAACATACTTTGATTGGAAAAGCTATTTCTGATGTTACTGCATACAGCTAGTCCAAATGAAAATAAATAGACTGAGACAGAAACAACTACAATTCTACTGCTTCATGTACAAAATAATACTGACAGTTGTTATATGGTGCTGTTTTAATGATTGGAATAAAACAAATACTGCTCCGGGTTAAGAAAACTGTTTCCTCACGCAGCAGGTACTCAAATGTGTAGCCCTAACTTACCTGCTTTTGCATTTTCTATTCTGCCAGTCACTGTAGTACCTGAATGTCTCAGCCTTTTTACATTTAAAAAGAGAAAATACACAAGACAAAATGTTCGTCCTCAGAGATTCTAAGATTTGAACGTATATTTCCACTGGCACTGACTTCAAGTAAAATAAGCCAGTTATCAGAACTGGTGGGTGTTAAGCACCATTCCATTGGACCTCAGCTCTGCACAATCAAACAAATCAAGAGGGAACAAAATGACTAAACTACAAGCAGTCCTGGCAAACAAATATTATAATGGATTTCTATGAATGTCAAAACAGAGTACTGTAGACTCTTATGATCATCTCAACAGAAAGTAAAACTGACTCTTGAAGAATTCAGCAAATGGTAAGAGCAGTATTAGCAATCACCTATATACCAAGAAATTGAAATGGCTGAAGTTCCTCTTCAGCTGACAAACTAGATATGAAGAGCCGAATGAGCCTCGCAAGAGCTTCAGTCATGTTCCAGAAGCTAAACCAGCAAACTTTGAAGAGCTGCAATTTGCTTCTAGCCACAAAAAACTCTCCAGTCTCACAGAACTTTTTCAATGTTCCCCTGTCCTTTTCTGGAATTGGGCCCAAGGGAAAGGTTGTAGCCCATCACCAGCTGATTTCTAAGAGGATGATTCGCTGTGATTACAGAAACTGTAGAAGACAGCTATCATTTAATTGGAATTAGTCACTACCCAATGTCAAGAACACAAAATTTCAGCTTTCTGCACTACATACCTTGTTTTGATTCCTGACCTTCCAGCTTGTTGTCTTCTCTCAGAGAAGAAGTAGAGTCTATGCTGTTGTCCTGTCTGGAAACAAATAAGAAGACATTTTAACCTACATCTTCTATAATTTAAGAGAACTTTTCTAAGAAACTTTTACTTTAACTAAAGAAATTATGTGATGGTAGGCCAACAGGACAGCTTCAGTATGAATAAAGGCAGAAGAAAAGCAGAGAGTGTTGATCTAAGCACTTGATAACAAACTTTTTTCTTGCTTTTCCTAGCAATACACAAGGATAAAGCAACTGTTTCCACTACACCCTAGCCTTTCAGAATAACAATCCTCACTGGTAGCCTCTCCCTAGTATTAAGAGCTTTTCTCTAAAACTCAGAATAACTTGTCACACAGTTAAATGATTTGAAAAAACTACAGTTTCAGTTGCATTCAAGTACTATTTATTGTTTCCTTTTGAAATTAAGAAACTACCATCACCCCATCACCATCCACCTCTCCTACATCACAATCTCATAGTTTTCCAAAGGGCCATTTTATAAAACAAAACACAACTGTTAAATTGTATTCACTAGCTACATTTCTCTATTTCTTCTATTTAAAGACTTCTACTCTTGATCTGTAAAGTTTCAGCTGCTTTATACAAGAGATAAGGAAGAGATACTTTTGTGAAATGTTCATGTCCTTCAGACATTTTGCATGTACTAGTTATACAAATTGTGAAAATACTGTGAAATATACAGGAAGAAGGAAGGCAGAAGGACCCAGAATCACAGTAAGAGTGCAATTATCATTTTTAGTGAGCCTTTTGACAGCAGAATTGCCAATTTCCTACCCTGAATGTTGCTGTGGCGTTGGTTTCATACATATTAATATGGAATCAATGCAACTATCCTGCCTGTGGGAGCTAAACAGCACTATATAAAGGATAGCAGTATTCTGGTGTCACAGATGTAAACACAATTACTTCAACAACTTGTTTCAGTAATCACCTGAAGGCTTTTCCTAAAATTGAATACAGATCTATTTTCCCCATGCTCTCAAAGATAATTTTTTTTTCAGGTGTCCAATGGCTATGTCAGGAGGGAGAACACCGTAATACTTCCAGCCATCTTGGTCTGAGAGGCCAAGTTACTTTGATTGCTATTTCCTTTTCTGTAGGAGGAAAAGTTACAAATCAATAGACTCTTCTGTTTCTCCCACTTTTTGTACCCATCCATAAATGTGTATGCTAGCACGGAGTAACTGATTAAGGAGAACATGTAGCTGGTTCACATGCACACAGCACCTGAAAAAAAGATGCTAAATGTTCTGCACCTTAAGTAAGAAAACCCCAAGAGAAATGTACTGTCCAATGCCAGTGTAATAAACTAGGAGTAGATTATTTACTGTGATGCATTTTCCTCAGAACTCAGTGGTATGTAACCTTTCAGTTTGCTTTCCTATTTGGTCAACTCAAGAAGTATTCTCCCAACCTTTTAACTTCTGTTGGACTTTCCATTCCCAGGTAGGGCTGAAAGAGAAGGAATGGATACAAACTTGATGTTCAAATAGCTATGCTGATTGGGAACTTATGTTTATATGGCTAACCCCTTCAGAAAATTATTTAAACTTTGCCTTTTCACAAACCAAGAATTTGTTCATTTATCTTCTATTCCAGTCATCAGTCTTACACTACAAAGGCCAGAGGTGTTACAAGATGGATTACAGCCCCTGCCTGTTATATGTAAAATAAGCCCAGGAATTCAATAAATAAAATTAGGTCTGCTGCCTGTGATGCTGTAGACATGTTAACCAGGGTCTCAATCTTCCCGCTGTCAGGTTGGGGGCGTAAGGGAAGGAAAACCAGACAACGTGAGAGTACCATGTTCAATTTGTTAAGTGGATTGTGCAGAGGACACTGAGACCCACCCCAGTTACCCCTCCGTGAGCCTGCACAACCTATCCCAGAGGAAGCACCTTCTCAACACTCAGTGCCAGGTTCCAGGCCACAGCTTAGGACCAAAGCCTAACTAGTCCTCTGCTTTGAGATGGTGCCAGACTCTCGGCTAGCAACATTTCCCCCCCTGCCTCCATTACTGGGTGGGATTAGGGCAGAAGCCAGCACAGACCATCAGATAAATCTGTCCATGATGCTGTCACACCAAATCTTCCCAGAAAGTTCAGGTTTTGCTCTCCTGTCACTTGCCAAGGCTTATTACACTCAGTTCTCCATTGTATTGCCCTGTCCATTAAGTTATGCATTTAATGGTGAGTCACTATAAGCACAAAGGCCCAGTGAAAAGGAAAACTGCCAGCGGAGGAACCCTAGTAACTTCATCAGTGCAGCAGCATCACCCCACCAGACTTAGTCCTAGGGCTGTGAAAGGAGAGCAACCAGCCCATTTTCTGGGAATGAAACCTAGTAAGAGTGCTTAGCTAGAGAAACCACCTTATAGGATAAAGGGTGCTAGTCTACAGAAGCAAGGGGGGCTGTATAGGATGCCAGGGAAGAGCATTGCAGGACTGCATAAAATGTACTGGTGTATGTTTTGAAGGGGAGCATAGGAATGTGTAAGGGATGTTTAGAGGAAGAACCTATGGTGGGAAAAGGGAGAGACCAAGGGAGATTGAGAAAGAACAAGCATGGGGGAAAAAAGAGGAAAAAAAAGAAGATAAAGAGCCAGCAGAGCATAAACATGTTGCTGGTCAGTGCACTTGTCAGGTTAAGCCCCAGACCTGATCACCACTGCCTTCTTATTGAACTTCACTGCTATACTAACTATTTTTCCAAATGATAGGACAATACTCTCTGTATATATGCACAGCTGTGTGTCTAAGTGCCAGCAACTGCAAAGGGGACCATAAGTCATAGGGGCCTGTAGGACTGTGCTGCCAGGAACTAGACAGAACGAAAAATGTTCTAGGGGAAATTCAATGTCATTCATCAGTGTGTACGCAGAGGCTTGTAATTCACCAGCAAACCTCAGACTCGTCTAGCCAGCAAGTAGGAGGAGGCATCTGGGAGCCAGATACCACTCAGACCATAAGATCAGAGGCCAAATTCCTGAAAGAGACCAGAGTCTGCAAGAAGGCAGATTGAGAAACCATAGTTCCATCAGATACCCAAGAGATCAACAGTCTGAGTGTCAGGTATCAGGGATGATCGTAGGTCTACACCACCCTGTGTTCACAAGGAGGTCTGAGCGGCAACTGGAATTGGGCTTTTATGTCCAACTGCCAGCAACTGGGGAAAGCAGTGGATCTGGCACCAGCTATTGGTCAACGGATCTGGAAGGATCCACTTTTTTTTTAAATTTTATTTTATTTTATTTTAAGCAATTCCTAATGATTTGTTATACTTAGTCACTCAAATCACCAAAATAAGGTTGTGATAAACCCTGCTCATCGCTAAGAGCAAAACCTGCTTAGGCTGCCCCTACCCCATCCTCCCTCACATGCACGCTTCATTGTTTTGAACTGAGCAGTCATCTCTGCACTGGACAGCAATGTGTCACTTGGGGAAGGCTGATCCAGAACAAATAGTGTCCAGGCAAGAAACTTCACATCTCTGGTATCACGCTGAGCTCTGTTGCCAAATTTCACTGAGGAATTACAATCACCCCCTTGACAGAAAATTCAGAGTGACCTCTATGGTTCAAACACCAGCTGTGAAATTACCTACAGCCATTCTAACAGCTATGTAAAAAGAAAGCATCAATTGAAAAATCACACATCAAAACTTGTTGCAAAGTTTCCTCCTGTTGCCTTGACACGATCACTGATTACAGCAAAAACACGTCCCTTTAAAGACTACCTACTGTGAGCAAAAGAATTTTTAGAACCCAAAAATACTTTTACAGCACGTTTTACTCTTTCAGAATTGATTGGATTGGACTGTACTGCTGGTGAACCTTCACTACTTCATTTACTAGGCAAGCATTTTGCACCATCTTGTGGCCAAGCAGAAGCATTTCAGTTCACAGTTCAGTTTTGCTCTCAACTTATTAATCTTGTTTAATTTGTTTGTTAGTAAAAAATATTTTTCCTACTTATCTGTATTGCAGTATAGATTTAAGAAAGGGTAGCATAACATCACATCTCCAAACAATGGGAGCAGAAGATATTGTAATCTAAAATTAAGGCACAGTATACAAGTTTAATACCCTCTTCTTTCATGCCATGCTAGTAAGTAACCACAGTAAATTGGAGCTCCCTCTTTTTATCAGTCTTTAAAGATACTTCTCCCTCAGGATGACAGTTAACTTCAAAGTCACTCTTCCAAGAGATAAACTCAGCATTTTTTTTAATAGAACAACATTGGCACATTACGGTCTTCTCAGCAGAAAGGAGCTAACTATTACAATTTGTTGGTGACAAATGCTGTAATTTTAAATTTGCCTGATGCTAGCTTTTCGTGTTGGCATGCTCCACAGTAGCGCAATGCTTACCTGGGCTCACACATGTGGATTCCATACAGAACCTAATACCTTCAGGAACCTGCCCAGCTATCAAAGAAACCTGCGTTTGAGGGTCATTTGGTACCAGAAATCCAGCAGATTATGCAGAGTGCGGTAAGAGAGCAGCACAGGTTTGAAAAAGGGGTACTGGTTCAGAGGAGTGGATGGCTAAGGACTAAGGCAATAGCACTGTAATACTGGTGGCTGGGATTCCAAGCATCAGCTTGGGGTTGGAAACCAGCAGGAAAAGTTTTGTGACAGAAAAAAATACCTTAATCCTGGACTTGAAGACAGTCCGACAACATGAGATCCAGTCATGCTGATACTTTCCCTTACAGCGCTTTTAATTGTTAAGAAACGTTCACCTAAATCTCTGGAGCGAGGCTTGAGATCAGTACCTCTGCTACTCTGACATAAAGATGATGTACCTTCTGTCCTGGTTTGAGCTAAAACAGAACCCATTTTCTGTTTAGTAATTTTACTTTGAAGCTAAGCCTCTTCTAACTCTCAGAAATTAACAGCATATTCCTTACACAGTGCCTGCTACCACAGTGATAAGGCCTGATGTTTATAGTTGATGCCAAGGAAAAGTATACAGAGAGGCTCTTGCTTACACTTATTGCTTAACACCCAAG